CAAATAACAGTAAATTGCAACTGCTTGGTTACTTTGAATACTACAATTTCCTAAAGATTTGTAAATGGGACTTGCAGAAAGTAATAAATGTTAGACAACTTTTCCCAACATTCCAAATAAGTTGGCTTTTCTAATCTAACATCAGCCTGCGCTTGAATATCTTCCTTCTCAGAAAGAGCCTGTTTCTTTAATGATCTATTATAAGATGGCCTTTTCCCTTATTACATAATGCTTTATATGGTTAGGAGAGAATTAAATGGAGGAATGCGATTTAAAGTTGCACAGGAACAGGAGATGCAGGTTTTGCTTGGAAAAGTAAATGCTTGGAGTAGATTCATCCTATATTTTATTTTTGAAAGATGGGATTAGATCTGTGTGCGTGTGTAATGGAGCATTCAATTGTCCTTGAATTATTGTGGTGAAAATAATGGTATCTGTTTGAAATGTCTTATTTCTTTCTCCTTTAAAATGAGGCCTAGACAGAACCTTAGCATTGTAACCTGTGGGCGGTTGAGGAGGAGAATTGGTCTGTGCCTGCAGCTCTCCTAGCTGTGCATCGGTTTTCTCCCGCAGGCTGTGTCTGTTATTGAAGCAGCAGAATCCACTGCTTGGTGGGGAGATGAGGCGGGCAAGGGAATAGAGGGCATACAACAGAGCTGGTGATTCAAGGCCAATTGTCTCTCTCTCATAGAACACACAGCTGAGCCCTGAGAGGCGGAACATCTCTTCACCAGGGAGCTGAAATAGATAATGATTTTTCACAGGTGGAGAAAAAGAACATGGTACTTGAGCGGCTGGTGATTGTTTATGGAGTCAATGACTTGCTTGTGGAGGAGAAGGTGCAGGGGAGGTGATAAAACAGGAGCGCTATACTTGGAAGCTGTTTGCTTTTCCCACCCAGAATGCTTCATTTACAAGCCCAAAGTGGCTCAGTTTATTGATGGATATAAACCATTGGTCCTCAAACTTTTTAGACAGAGGGCCAGGTCACAATCCCTCAAACTGTTAGTGGGCTGGATTATAATTTGAAAAAAAAACACATGAATAAATTCCTATGCACACTGCACATATCTTATTTGTAGTGTAAAAAAAAAACACTTAAAAACAATACAATAATTAAAATGAAGAAGAATTTTAACAAATATAAACTTATTAGTATTTCAATGGGAAGTGTGGACCTGCTTTTGGCTGATGAGATAGTATTGTTGTTGTTGTGTGCTTTCAAGTTGTTTCAGACTTAGGTTGAACCCGAGCGAGGGCCCGGTAAATGACCTTGGAGGGCTGTAGCCGACCCTCGAGCCTTAGTTTGAGGACCCTTCGTATAAACATTTCAAGATAATCATATTACATTCATGTGAATTGAAATGGGGGGCAGTAATATATCTAGTCTGCTGTGTTGTTGAAATGGAGTCTTGGGTAAAATTAAAGTAAATATACAGAGTGTTTCAAAATGATGGACGCCTGTACTTTATTGAGTTCAGTGGGGCTTTACTTTTGAGAGAACATACCTATTAGGTCATGTTGCAAATATCACATGAGGAATCCATATTCTGACTCCTAGCAATTGTAATTCCAGGAAGAAGGATATTGAGAACTTGTTTATCTGGATCTTGACAAGTTCCAAGAATGGTGGCTGTGACTATCAACTAGGTGGTGGTTGTGGGGTAGGCAGAACTTTATTTCGTATGGCAGATATGAATATGATTTTAAGTGAGGTAACAGTTCAAAAGGAAGAGGGGCCAAGGGCAAGATGGATGCATGGTATCCTTGAAGTGACTGGATTGATCTTGAAGGAGCTGGGGGTGGTGACAATCGACAGGGAGCTCTGGCGTGGACTGGTCCATGAAGTCACAAAGAGTCGGAAATGACTGAACAAATGAACAACAACAACAAACAGTTCAAATCAAATACATGAGTTAGGGTATGATTTTAAAGCCAGCTTCCCCAAGTTGATCCTCTCCAAATGTTTAGAGATAAATCTCTATCAGTCACAGCCAGCAAATGGGAATAATAGGAAATATTAGCCAAAGCATTAAAAGACAGCCAGGTTGAGGAAGGCTATTACAAAGGATTTTAGAATATAGGTCTCATTAAATGCTTTTCAGCTTAGAGAAGGTTCTAGCTAGAGGACATGATACAGATTAAAAGGTTTTGTAGTGATTTTAAAAAAATAAATGCTTAATGTTCCCATATTTTATAGCTATCCCCATAGATACATCAGTGTTTGCTCCTTGCTTAGGATAGATTTTCATAGATTTGATTGCCAGTAGAAAAGTAAAGGTAAAGATTTCCCCTTGACATTAAGTCTAGTTGAGTCCAACTCTGGTGGTCATCTCCGTTTCTAAGCCGAAGTGCTGGCATTGTCCATAGACACCTCCTAGGTTATGCGACCAGCATGACTGCATGAAGCGCCATTACCTTCCACCCGAAGCAGTACCTATTAATCTCACATTTGCATGTTTTTGAACTGCTAGATTGGCAGAAGCTGGAGCTAACAACGGGAGCTCACCACATCTTGTGGTTTCAAACTGTCAATCTTCCAGTCAGCAAGTTCTGCAGCTTAGCGGTTTAACCCGCTGTGCCACCATGGCCCAAAGTGTCTCTCCGCAAAATATCATGTATGGAAACCCCTTTGAGTTTTCAGTTATGGGTTTCCATAGCAGAAAGTAGGAGAGAAGAGTGGCAGGATCTCATGGTTAGTTCCAAATACAATAGGCCAGCTAGATCTGTAGGATATACAAAGGTATCTATTCAGTATTTAGTAATAGATTCGAAGATAAACAAGTTCCAGATAAACAAGTTCTCAATATCATTCTTCCTGGGTCTACTTTGGTTGGGAAAGTGATTTTATTTATTTATCCTATTTATACCCCGCCTTTCTCTACCTCGAAGAGGACTCAATCAAAGCGACTTCTATATAGACAATTGTTCAGTGCCTTAAAACACATACAACATTAAAGCAACATTAAAATTAAATTAAATTTAATCCATATTAGTCATTTAAAAACATTCCTTTAAATATTAAAAGCACACCATCCATAATTGTAGTCCGAAGCTGATCCATAGTCATTGCACATATTCCAAATCTGTTATTCCACTGCATTATTCTCCGAAAGCCTGATCTCAAAGCCAAGTTTTTACTTTTCTTCTGACTGTAAATAATACTGACCTAGTAAATCAAGCCAAGGTTTGGTGCTCCTTGTCTAGGAAATTAATTTCCCAGGTATCAACTTAAAATATGATACTGCATAAGCCTATGACCTGGGTGCATGCTGTTTGTTCCCTGCAGCTTTATGGTGGACTATGCAATACTTCCTGAGAGGGATTTTGTTGCCAAGGTAATAGTTGGACTTCTGTCTTCTGAGCTTAGCTCAGGGATTTCTCCACAAGACCACACTGTTCCAGTGTGTGTTGTATGACAGGAAGATGCCTTCTGGCCCAGGAATTTATCACTTGCAAACATTGAGCTAAGCTATAATAACTGACATCCTGCAAGCTGCTTAGATCTAGCTTTTCCAGAGCTGTGGTATGGAAATTTTCTGTATGTTTTTTTTTTCAAAATGACTGAGAAGATTGAATGCCTACATGCTGAAAACCTCTCAGGGGCATGCGCTGGAGCATTGTCTGCTTTGTGCTCCTTTAATTTGCCCTGCAAATACTTGTCTTTCATACTTGCTGAAATTTCTGGCAAGAGCCCACTAGTTACCATTGGCAAGCAATCTCCAAAAGAGCTCTATTTTGGCATTTGGTTTTCCAAAGGGAAAAACACACAAATATTTGTAAATATCCAGACATCATATTTCAGCATGATGATGTCGGAAGAATCCTCTTTTGCAGAATGTCTCTTTTGGGAATACTTTATCCTGATTGGATTTTTGGTGTGTGTTTTCTGGAGAAGCAATGTATAGATGGCTATGTTTGTTAGTTGTTGTTGTTCATTCATTCCCAACTCTTCGTGACCTCATGGACCAGCCCACGGCAGAGCTCCCTGTCGGCCATCACCTCCCCCAGCTCCTTCAGAGTTAATCCAGTCACTTCAAAGATGCCATTCTTCCATCTTGCCCTTGGTCGGCCCCTCTTCCTTTTTCCTTCCATTTTCCCCAGCATCATTATCTTCTCTAAGCTTTCCTGTCTCCTCATGATGTGGCCAAAGTGCTTCAACTTTGTCTCTAATATCCTTCCTTTCAATGAGCAATTGGACTTTATTTCCTGAAGTATGGACTGGTTGGATCTTCTCGCAGTCCAAGGCACTCTCAGAACTTTCCTCCAACACCGCAGTTCAAAAGCATCTCTCTTCCTTCACTCAGCCTTCCCTATGATCCAGCTCTCACATCCATAGGTGACTATGGGGAATACTATTGCTTTAACTATGCGGATCTTGGTTGCCAGTGTGATGCCTCTACTCTTCACTATTTTATCGAGATTGGACATTGCTCTCCTCCCAAGAAGTAAGCGTCTCCTGATTTCTCGGCTGCAGTCTGCGTCTGCAGTAATCTTTGCACCTAGAAATACAGTCTGTCACTGCTTCCACGTTTTCTCTATTTCCCAGTTGTCAATCATTCTAGTTGCCATAATCTTGGGGTTTTTTTATGTTTAACTGCAACCCAGCTTTTGCGCTTTCTTTTTTCACCTTGATTAGAAGGCTCCTCAGCTCCTCCTCACCTTTCGGCCATCAAAGTGGTGTCATTTGCATATCTAAGGTTGTTAATGTTTCTTCCAACAATTTTCACCCCAGCCTTGCATTCGTCAAGCCTTGCACATCGCATGATGTGTTCTGCATACAAGTTGAATAGGTTGGGGGAAAGTATACAACCTTGCTGTATGCCTTTCCCAATCTTGAACCAGTCTGTTGTTCCATGGTCAGTTCTTACTATTGCTACTTATACAGATTCCTCAGGAGAGAGACAAGGTGATTTGGTATGCCCATACCACCAAGAACTTGCCACAAAGGTTTGTTAGTACAACCAATTAATATAGTGGTATTTTATTTTTCACCCTAGGGGCGGCTCCTCCAGGGTTGAAGAAGCATGTGATATCTATGCAAGAGCAGCCAATATGTTTAAAATGGCAAAGAACTGGAGTGGTATGTATCATCCCTGAATGTTTACCTTTATTAATCTCTTATTTTAATATGTTATGTGAAGACTATCCTCAGAGGAATGGCTGTAATTCAGTGGAAGAGTGCCTGCTTTAAATACTAAATGTTTAAGGTTTAATCTTTGGTATCTCACATTTAGTCTGGGATGGTTGGATCATTGCTGCCCATCATCATAGACAGTAATGAGCTAGATGAACTAATAGTTTCATTTTGTATAAGGCAGCAACCTATGTGAAAAGGAATTGAAATGTGTTTTGTTTTTCTTCCAGGAATCTACATGTACTCTAGCAGGTGTTAGTTGTGTGGGTGGTAAGAGGAGAGCTCTGCAGTCAGATGATAAATCCTCTGCATAGTTAATGGCATAACAAGGATTATAGGAAAATAAGTCCAGCCCACTTTGCTCCAGCCATCTTGTCTCTAGATTAGGGCTGACATTCCTTGCCTTTAGCTAGGTTAATTGTGTCTGAAAGAATCTGCAGTCCAAGAGTCTGATAAGGCCATGATTTTCTCCTGTTCTAGAAAGGTGATGGAAAACTACTTGGGGATCCTCTTACTTTATTTCATCCATATATGCCTCTACCTCCCTCCCTCAAACTACAGTACAGTATATGTCAAAGGGTACAAAATTTGTTGTTGAAAATTATCTGTCTATTCCAGTAAAACAATGTATAACATCTATTCGGAAAAAGATTGAAAATGACAATTTTAAAGTAGTACAGTATTCTCAAATCAGATCAAAACAAAACAATGATTTGATCTGATTTGTATAGTATTGTATTGGAAGGTCTTTCTATAGAACAGCCAGTTCTCTTTGTTTTGGAAAACCCTGATTTTGGGTCTCTAATGTGCCTTAACAACTTCCAAGTGTAGCTCCTCCTTTTCTCTCTCTTAGCTGCTGGGAATGCTTTCTGCCAGGCTGCTCAGTTGCACCTCCAGTTGCAGAACAAACATGATGCAGCCATGAGCTTTGTGGATGCAGGCAATGCCTTCAAGAAAGCAGATCCTCAAGGTACGTAAAGTGTGCTCACTTACAATTTCATCTAATCAGAGCTTGGGGTAGGATTTGTTGGTGAAGTAGGTTTTGGAAATATTATAATATCCCATTAAATGTGGCCCATTATTGCCCAGGTTTTCTAAACACTTGTATGTTAGAAGCATCACCCCCAGGGACAGACACAAGTGGACTTAATGTCAGGGGAAAACCTTTATGTTTACCTATGTTAGAATCATATTCGATTGTTTGGTAGGACTGAACCTATGTAAAGGTAAAGGTTTCCCCTTGACATTTAGTCTAGTCATGTCCAATTCTGGGGGTGGTGCTTACCTCAATTTCTAATCCGAAGAGCTGGTGTTGTCCGTAGATACCTTCAGAGTCATGTGGCCAGCATGACTGCCTGAGCTCCATTACCTTCCTGCCGGAGCGGTGGCTGTTGGTTTCACATTTGCATGTTTTCGAACTGCTTGGTTGGCAGAAGCTAGGACAAACAGCGGGAGCTCACTCCGTTCCCCGGATCTGAACCGCTGACTTTTGGTCAACAAGTTCAGCAGCTCAGCAGTTTAACCTTCTGTGCCACTTATGTAAACATCTTTAAATAGCTAAAGTTCCAAAACTTCTCATTCAGAATACACAATTTTGGGTTCAACTGAATGCATAGTATTTTGTAGCAAAAATGCACAAGTAAATGTTTAAACTTTTCTCTAATTGCCTGTTTTGGTTGAGGATGAGATAGGAGTACAGTGCTTATACCACTTACACCTCAGCTGAACAAGTGGAGATGTGCATGACCCTTTAGCTTTCAAAGATAGCCCTTTTCTCCTCATTTTCCATTGTGATTTCGAAATGCAAAAGTTCATTTAAGATCTTGTATCATCTTGAAGCTAGTAAGCACAAGTCCCACTTTACATATGAGAAACCATATTTAATTAGATGTTTGTGTATTTCTCTGCATTTTTCTTTACAAATTTGCATTTCTCATCACAAAGGAAGAGTGGACTACATATTTATAGGTCTTGTTTTATTAGTATAGTGAAACTGAACACAAGCAGCTGTATTAGTCTTTGTTGTATGTTGATACTTGCTAAATGCTGTTTTCTAAATGCTTCCACACTTTCTCTGAATATGCAAGTCACGTAGGCTTTTGAAGGGCAAAACCTATGATGCCAGCTGGCTTCATTTCATTACAAACTGAGATGTTCTGCTTTCATTGGAAATCTCAGTAGTCTGCAGCATTGCATAAGAGATTCAAGTTAACTAATCTTCCCAACTCTGACCTTACAGATGTGAAATGTATAACTCAAGTCCTGATTTAAATGTCTCTGTATTCAGACCTCATCTTAGGGAGTTCCCCTTCAATAAAACCCATAAGAACCAATCTTCTGTACAATTTAACGTAAAGTAATGAGAATAACACCAAAGCCTTAAACTTCATTAAAGTGTGAATGATATTTATTGATCAGAAAACTTCAGTTTTGGGGGGATTACAATTCTAAAGTGGTTTTACTTTGCCTTGCCTACATAAACTGGTTTATTCTGTGTGCTGTGACTTTTCCAAGTACTTTTAAGGCAAAATATGACTTTTAGTAATGTTCAAGTCTCCCTTCTCAGCTGTTGAAGGCAGTTGTTTTGGGAGGGTTCTTTAGTTGTTTTCCTGGAATGTCGACTGGGGCATGTAGAGCCTTTGCGCCTGTGTTGTCTTTGGATCAAAGATGTACTTTGCCTCCTTACCCAAGAGTTTGTATGTCAGATTTCTGACATTTGTTAACAAAAGTGAGTAGCAAATAAGCGTGAGGCAGAGAACAAGGAGGAGATAGTCTTCTCCTGCAGTTGTCTTGCCTCTGCCAATAGTTTTTGGAGAAAAGATGATAAAGTAACCTGAGGAGAAAACAAATTTAATCCTCTACAGGGATTTGCTTAATCTTTTGGAGATTTGCATTCTGATTATTGGCTGTGGTAGCAGAGCTAAAGAGTGAGCCTCGTCCTTGTCACTGCACTGATGGAGGCAGAAAAATTGGGAGGGGGTTAGACTTGGGCCCAAATCACGGTTAATGAAAAGATTTATAGTTACCAAATTTCTGAAAACGGAAAGGGGAGGAGAGAGATGAAATGATCAGTGAAACAGATTTTTGAGAGATTATATTTTCGTAAAGAGTTAAGTCCACAAAATACTTGAGGCAGGGGGATCTGTGTCATTTTTTCTCCCCAGCAGAAGAAGCCTCCTCCATTTTTTCTTGGAAAAGTTACCTCCTCCTCCAGAGAGGGCCCTGGGAACTCGCTTTCCCAGTGGCACTTGCATGGGGTGGGAGTTGAAGTTTTTCTTTCTGTGTGTCTCTCAGTCAATAAAAAGCCCAGTGGTGTCCATGCTCTGATTGGCTGAGAATGGACACAATTAGCGACGACAATTCCCAAATGTTATGGTTAAAACTTAAATGGTTAAAACTTAAAACAATTCTTGAAAAAATCAGTAGATTGGTTAATTGTTTTGAAACTTGAGAGACCTGCCAAGGGTCTACAACTGAGGTAGGTTTCATGCAGATAGACCTTTAAAACCTTTAAAGTTTCCCATTGCACCGGGATTGTGGCGCAGCGGGCTGAAGGTCAGCTGCATTAAGATCACTCTGACCAAAAGGTCATGAGTTCGAAGCCAGCCCGGGTTGGAGTGGGTTTCCAACCAATTGTGTAGCCTGTTGTCGACCTTTGCAACCCGAAAGACAGTTGCATCTGTCAAGTAGGAAAATTAGGTACCACCTTGTGTGGGAGGCTAAATTAATAAATTTATGAGGCCATAAAAAAGATTCCAGCAAAAGCACTCCAGCAAAAAAAAAAAAGCATGCGGGGAATGCGGAAGTACTTCATCAGTGTCACAGATGGACGATGAAAGCGACAGCTCCCCTGGTGGCCAGGAAAGTTAAATAGCCTCTGTGTATGTCTATATACGTTGTATGTCAAAATTGGCATTGAATGTTTGCCATATATGTGTACACTGTAATCCGCCCTGAGTCCCCTGCGGGGTAAGAATATAAATGCTGTAAATAAATACATAAATAAATTGTAGCCAATGGGCTGAATCTCAGCCGAATGAGATGGAAAACACCTCTCCCCTTTCGGGTAACTTTGTGGTAAATGAAATGAGGGGTCAAACCAAAATGGACCCAAAACCAGTGTGCCTTTTGGCCTGAATGCACATGCTTAGAGAGGGTCAAGGATGAACGCTAGCACTGTATTTTGTAATAGCATTAAAAGGTCATTACATTATTGAATTTTTGCTTTAATTTGTGGTGAAGACAGTTTTCCATTCTGCCAATGGCAGAACAAATAGTGGAAATCACCCTTATCCATTTTTAAATTAAAGTTACAGTATATTCTGGCGTATAAGACTACTTTTAAACCCAAGAAAATCTTCTCAAAAGTCAGGGGTCATCTTATACGCGGGTGTAGTCTTATGCATGGGAGTGGTCTTAACTCTATATTTTAACTGGAAAAGTTGGGGGTCGTCTTATACACCCAGTCGTCTTATATGCCGGAATATACGGTACTTCCAAGCTTTTGGTTCTAATCCTGAAGCTGACATCAGTGGCTTCCATTAAAATGACTGGTGCTGCAGTTCTTTAGTAAGCCACATGGGGGCAACATAGGAATCAATATCCTTGATATGGGATCAGTGGCTGCTGTTGTGTGCCTTCCAGTTGTTTCTGATTTATGATTAATAGAATCATAAAAGACTAGAGTTGGAATAGACCACATAGTCCAAACCCCTACCATGCAGGAAAAGCACAATCAAAGTGCCCCTGACAGATGGCCATTCAGCCTCTGTTTAAAAGCTTCCAAGGAAGGAGCATCCACCATACTCCTAGGCAAGAGTTCCGCTGCTGAACAACTCCTACAGTCAGGAAGTTCTTCCTAACACCATCACAGATGTTTCCCATTGTTTTCCTCTGAGGCTGAGAGAGTGTTACTTGCTTATGATCGCATGGCTCATAAGTGGTCATTTGCATTAGATAATCACTAAATTGTCCCAAGAGTAGGATCTGGCTGTAAAAGGTAGTTGCACATAAATCCCTTCCTGTTGGAGAATACTGATTAATCAATTCTCAAACTCTGCTTGGCGTTCTCTTCCAATTTCCAGAAGATCTGCTGGCTTCAGCAGCTTTTCCTTAAGTGGCTATTGATCTTCATAGTAGAAATTGCGCTATAAATATACTCCCAAGTTTTGTCCCTTACATGGAGGTCATTATCAAATGGCATTATTTCTTCATTTTATCGTGTTTAAAGTGTCTTCTTTTTTTAAACAGAGGCCATTAACTGTCTCCTCAGATCTATTGAGATCTACACAGACATGGTAAGTTGATGCTGTATGTGTGTGCAATTCAGAACTTGATTTTAAAAGAGTTGAACTAATTTGTGTATTTTATTTTTGGGAGGGAACCGGGCCTTTTGTGGAAAAGGCAGCCCTCTTGTATAAAAAAATAGTATTTTTTTTCCAGGAAACACATTTTTTTCTGTCTTGACAAACCACGTGTATCTCTGTGAAAATGAATTTTTTGAAATCTATATAAATAAAAATGTAATGTTCGTTTGTGGGATTAACGTAACTCAGTTCACTGGATGAATTGACACTATATTTGGACACAAGACACCTCTCAGGCCAATGAGTGACTATCACTCATAAAAACACTGAAAAACACAGCAGAAGAGACTTTAAAAGCCAAAAAACCACATTACAATGTATGCGCAAAACCACATATATACACAAACACATATATTCACATATACACATACATATACACATATATACACACACAAAATACATATACACAGACTGGGCCACAGCAACGCATGGCAGGGGACAATTAGTACACATAAACACAGAAATATACATATACACATTCACATATACATACAGACACACACATATATACGCAAGCAAACACAAATATACACATACAGTATACACACACATACATATACACCTACACACATATACACATACATATATGCATATACACAAGCACACACATATACACAATATACATATACACATATAAACACAAATACACAAATATATACAAATATATACACACATAAAACACATATACACAGACTGGGCCACAGCAAGGCGTGTCAGGGGATGGCTAGTTATAAATAATGAAAAAAGGACAGAAAATTTGTATTTCCATGGAGCAAGGAGAAAAATGCTGAAATGTATTACATGCAGGAATGAAATTCATGAAGATTTATTTTACTATTCTTGACAGAAAAGCCTAACATTGAAGGGCATTAGTAGTTGTAACATTGGAGGGGCACACTTGTCCACCCCCCTCAAATAAAGTGTATAATATAGATTGACACATTGTTCCAGGTACTTAAATATAAAGCAGATTGCTTTTTTTCTAAATGAACCAAGAATGCATTGAAGCAGATAAGGCTCTAGTCTAGACTTCTTTTTTGTTAAAAAAAAAGTAAATGCCACATATGCACGTACAAACATTTAAAGGTTCATCAAGCCTTCCTATCTTAAGGTGTGCTTAGAATTAAAATGCTTTTACAGGAGTATGAGGACTGTGCATGTACCTAGCTGTCCCTGGATGATTATACTCATTTTACACCCTATTTGCCTTTCTCTTCCTTTAGGGCCGTTTCACTATCGCAGCCAAACACCACATAACAATAGCAGAGATCTACGAAACAGAGCTGGTAGACATTGAAAAGGTGTGTTGGGAAGGGATGTCTTCTGTGTCTTGTTTTCATTGTGGTTCTCTCATTCAAGCAAGTCTTCTTGTGTGGTCTACCATATCCCTTCCTTTCTGTCTTCTCCCCAGAAAAAAGTGGATGTTGGGATCATAATATGACGGTGGAGAGGCTCTAAGACAGGCATGGGAAAACTTTCTAACTTGGCGGGCTGGGAGGGAGGGGGTTCTCCCCAATTCCCCTCCCTGCCCTTTCCTCCCCTTCCTCTTCTCTTTCGGAGACAGAAAGTGAAGGGAAGACAGGAAAGATTTGGATCCCAAAAGGGTTAGCCTTGGTCAGGATGAGATGGTGGATGGGAGAGAAAAAGTGTATCCATTTGACCCCATATTGCCTACTCTTAATATAGAATCCTAGAACTGGAAGAGACCGCCAAGGGCCATCCAGTCCAACCCCCTAGAATCATAGAATCAAAGAGTTGGAAGAGACCTCATGGGCCATCCAGTCCAAGAAGCAGGAATACTGCATTCAAAGCACCCCTGACAGATGGCCATCCAGCCTCTGTTTAAAAGCTTCCAAAGAAGAAGCCTCCACCACACTCCGGGGCAGAGAGTTCCACTGCTGAATTCCTCTCACAGTCAGGAAGTTCTTCCTCATGTTCAGATGGAATCTCCTTTCTTGTAGTTTGAAGCCATTGTTCTACGTCCTAGTCTCCAGGGAAACAGAAAACAAGCTTGCTCCCTCCCTGTGACTTCCTCTCACATGTGCCTGCCATGCAAGAAGGCACAATCAAAGCACTCCCGACAGACAGCCTCTGTGGAAAAGCCTCCAGAGAAGGAGACTCCACCGCACTCCCAGGCAGCCTATCTTACTGTCCAACTTCTCTTCTTTTCATGAAGTTCTTCCGAATCTTTTCAGTCAAATCTCTTTTCCTGCCACTTGAAACCATTGCTCCCTTGTGCCCTGGTTTCTAGAGCAGCAGAAAATCTATTTTCTGCCTCCTCCTCAATGGGACATCCTTTTAGATCTAGAAACATGGTTCTCATGTTTTCTCTCTAATAATAATAATAATAATAATAATAATAATAATAATAATAATAATAATGTATTTATAACTCATCCTATCTCCCCGAAGGGACTCTTGCTTCTCTTTCCCAGCTAAACATTCCCCAGGAAGAAAGGAGGAAGGAAAAAAAGAAGGAAGAAAGGGAGGAAGAGAAGAGAGGGAGGGAGGGAATGGAGGGAGGAGAAAGAGAAGGAGGAAAAGACGGAAGGAGGGAGAGAGGGAAGGAAGGAGGAAAGAGGGAAGAAAGGGAAGGAAGGAGGAAGGGAGAAAGAGGGGAGGAAGGAGGAAGGAAAGATAGAAGGAAGGATAGGCTGGCAAAAAAGAGGAGGCCCTGAGAAAAGAGCCCAAGGGACTGTATCCGGCCTCTGGGCCTGGTTTTGCCCATTCCTGTTCTAAGAGCTAGTTAAGAATAAGGACTCCTTTTGGATTTGTGTTCAGATTTTTGATGCCTTTCACCCTTACAAATTGACACATTTATATCTATCAATTTGATAAGCTGGTCCTAATTTCAGGAATGGCTAGAAGAAGAAATCTGAAGGGGTTCCTTCCTCTCACCATTGTAGATTCAATCACAAAGGAGGTGAACAGAGCTTTCCTAAACTGCTGTCACTATTAATTAAATCCCACTTTACATTATATTTACAGATAACATTTTAAAAACACAGGTAAAATAATAATTCAACTTTCACTGTAGTGAAAAAAAAAAAACAATTCAACTAGAGCCCAAATGCATTTTCACAGTCTTTTTTGTTTAGTGGAATTCTTCCCTTTGAGCTGTTTTATGAAACACAGTGTGCAAGTGTGCTGGGTCAGCAAACATCCCAACACATTTGGTGAGGTAATGGACATTTTACACAGTCTACACACTCTCTATGGCTGACCCCTGGAGTGCAGATGCAGAGCAAATGTACCTTTGCTTTGAACTCAAAGCTTTTGTGTTTGATGTCATCACCTCACCCTTCTTTTTCTGCTTCCTTTACAGGCAATAGCTCATTATGAACAAGCTGCAGATTACTATAAAGGTGAAGAATCTAATAGGTAATTGGAGAGCTATTATTCCTGTTCTCTTTTTAAACTGTTTCTTCCAAGCAGAGGAAAACACTGCTGTATGTGACTCCACTCTTGCATTTCTGATAGAGCTTAGTTTAGAAGGTGATGCCAGAAAATTGCTATTCCTGTAGGATTTAGTGGATCATGTGATTTTTGGATCATGTGGTTTTAATATTTATATTAAGATGGTTTTAATGCCTTGTTTTCATGTTTAAATGTAATTTATGTCTCATGTTTAATGATTTTAATTTATAGTTATATGTTAGTATTTAATTATTATGATTTTTCTTTTTACATATATGTTGACATTGAATTTTTGCCATTGTTACGTTGTAAACCTTCTTGAGCCCCCCCCCCCCCCCCCCGGGCGGGGTGAGAAAGGCGGTATATAAATATAGTAAATAAATAATAGTGCATGAGACACTATCTTTGCTAGGAAGGGTGGTTCAGGGATCTAAAGGAAGGGCTCTTCAGTGTGGTGTTTGGTCTTCTTTCTTCTAATTGTGTAAGGCAGTGGGTCCCCATGATGGGTACCTGATGGCAGTGATGGATTTGGGAAGAGTTCAGGAAATTCCACCTGAACATGAGGAAGAACTTCCTAACTGTGAGAGTTGTTCAGCAGTGGAACACTTTGCCCCGGAGTGTGGTGGAGGCTTCTTCTCTGGAGGCTTTTAAACAGAGGCTGGTTGGGAGTGCTTTGAATGCTATTTTCCTGCTTCTTGGCAGGGAGTTGGACTGGATGACCCATAAGGTCTCTTCCAACTCTGATTCCCTAAGAGTGGATGAAGCAACCTAGTCTAGACCAGGCAGAGGAGTTTATCAGAATCTAATTGATTTGGGAGTTGGTGACTCTCCCTGTTCTGGCAAGGTTAAAAAATACACTTGGACTTGAATACTTTATGCCTTGGTCAGGAGTGCTTTTTCTCTACTGAAATTAATGTCTCAGCATAGCAGTTATTGCTGCTCCTACCTGGCTAAGATAGTCATATTAAACTTTGGTAATTCTGTTCCTTGAGTGTGCAGCTGCTTTTGAAGGTTGTTCTAAAATGTTGATTACTTCAGAACGTGGTAGCCTGATTCAAGATCAAGTGAACTGCTTAGAGCAGTGGTTCGCAACCTTGGGTCCCCAGATGTTTTGGCCTTCAACTCCCAGAAATCCTAACAGCTGGTAAACTGGCTGAGATTTCTGGGAGTTGTAGGCCAAAACAACTGGGGACCCACAGGTTGAGAACCACTATCTTAGAGCATGAAACACTTGTGTTAATTGATCTCCACTAATTTTGAGTTCGTTCCAAACCAAATAGAGGATTTGGAAGACCTTTCCATAGAAAATTGGACAATTTCCAATAGAATGCCTCCTCCATCCATTGAGGATAGCTTTCTCAGGATTTATTATTGTCAGAAGCTGAATTGATGACTATGAGAGGGAGGTTATCTATTGACATTCTCATGGTAAAAGTTATCTCCAGAGTGAGCCCTTGGATTTTTATTTTTCAACAGCTTGGATACAAGCCACTGTGGTCCAGCGCGTGTCTTGTTTTATGAACCGGTAGCTGCAGTTTGGAGACATTTCTGATCACATATTATAATTACCTTTTAAATGAGTTGTGTTCAGTGTTTAGCCATTTTTATTCCCTAGAATCAACTTGTCAAATGAATTGTGAATTGGTAAAAGTGAGGAAATGTTGTTGTCTCTCATTAGCACATAAATGGCCAATTTAGAATATAATGTAGTCTTGTTGGTCCCTCAAATATCTTCTCAATTCAGGAATCGATTCAAATTTCTTTCTTGGCTGCCTAAAAGTAACCTCTACTCATTCTTGGTTAGGGTCAGCTTACAAATATAGCTCCATTCAGATACATCTGGGCAGTCTTTTATTTCTCTAGAATAGCGTTTTTCAACCTGGGGGTCGCAAGGTTTCAGAGGGGTTGCCAAAGACCATCAGAAAACATATATTTCTGATGGTCTTAGGAACCCCTTTGGCAGAGAAGGCTGAAGATCTCTCTGCCTGTTCTTCTCTTCCTTTTTGGAAACAGATGGCAAATCCTCCCACCAAATGTCCTCCTCCACTGTGATTGGCTGGCCTCTCAGCAATGGGGAGGGCTGTTTCTAAGACTCCAAGCAGGGAGGGGAGAGCAGGCGTACTTGGCGCGTGGTGCACATGTGCGGGCAAGGTAGAGCATGCGAGGCAGGACGGAGGCTTGCGCCAGCGAGTCCCTCCAAGGGATGAAGTTTCTTTGTGGGAAGTTTGACCCAATTCTATCGTTAGTGGGGTTCAGAATGCTCTGATTGTATGTGAACTATAAATCCCAGAAACTACAATCCCCAAATATCAAGGTCTATTTTCCTCAAACTCAAGCAGGGTTCACATTTGGGCATATTGAGTATATGCACCAAGTTTGATCCAGTTCTATCATTATTTGAGTCCACAGTGCATTCTGGATTGTAGGTGAACTACAACTCCAAAACTCAAGGTCAATGCCTAGCAAACCTTTCCAATATCTTCTCTTGATTGAGGGAGTTCTGTGTGCCAAGTTTGGTTCAGTTCCATCACTGGTGGAGTTCAGAATTCTCTTTGATTTTTGGTTAACTATAAATCCCAGCAACTACAACTCCCAAATGATAAAATTAATCCCCAACCCCACTAGTATTCAAATTTGGGCGTATCTGATATTTGTGCCAAAATTGGTCCAGTGAATGAAAATATATTCTGCATATCAGATATTTAGCAAAATTACAGTTATGAAGTAACAACGAAAATGTTGTTATGGTTGGAGGTCACCACAACATGAGGGACTGTATTAAAGGGTTGTGACATTAGGAGGGTTGAGAAACACTGCTCTAGAATATAAATTATTACCTCTCCTTTTTCAAAAATTATGGTGGTCTGTTGTGGGACACCTGAGTAGAAAGACACATGTTCTGCCTAAGGCAAACCAACCCAAGCCAGAGTTCTCTCCATGATATTTGTAAAAATGGATGAAGTGTGGTTATATGATTTGATTTATCTTTCTTCATTTGCTTACAAAGAGGACAGGACAGTTCAATTTTGTTGCCTGCTTGATATTTCAAGGCAGGCTTTTGATCAGAACCCAGCGTGGGCAGCTTCGTTAGCGCTGAGAATCATGCTGAAAATAAAGAGTGTGAGTCAGGGGGCTGCATGTTTTAGTTACATAACGAGTGTGATGTGCGTGTGCTTCGGTGAGCTTCACAAATGCTATTGATGGCAGTGACAGCTTAGGCAGTTCCCAAGCCGATCCATCTTGGGGTCTTAGAGCCCACTGATGTTACCATATAAGTGCATGGAGGGGCGGGTGAGGAGGGAGTAGTTCTTTCCTTTGTCCAGATCACTCTAGCTCATCTTCCTCTTCCTGCAGCTCTGCTAACAAGTGTTTGCTGAAAGTGGCTACCTACGCAGCTCAGCTGGAGCAGTACCAGAAGGCCATTGAGATCTATGAGCAGGTCTGGTTATAAGCTATCTCCCACCCACATCTTCCACAAACTCCTAGTTGAAATTTTAAACTACAGATAGCTCACTAATCATGTTTTCCTGCAGTATATGTAAATTAAATTATTGCCAGGGCTCCAGTCTGTCATAAAATCACATATCTGAGAGAAGGGGGTGATATTTTAGTATAGCTCGGTGACTTATATTTTTTTTTTAAGAAAGGAAAGACAAGTAACTCTCCTGTCTTCCTTGCTTCATTGTGTATATTGGGAGAGGTGTCTGAATTGTATTTGCAAGGACTTTGTAGTGTCAGAAGGGCCACGTTAGTGGAAGAGAATGCCAGTTGGTGCACCAATACTATGGGAACTGCAAGCAGAAAGCCTTCCCCAATAAAACTGAATGTAGTCACTAGGTTGGAGCCTCGGTGGCACAGCGGGTTAAACCGTTGAGCTGCTGAAATTGCTGACTGAAAGTTGGCGGTTCAAATCCAGGGAGCAGGGGTGAGCTCCTGCTGTTAGCCCCAGCTTCTACCAACCTAGCAGTTTGAAAACATGCAAATGTGAGTAGATCAATAGGTACTGCTTTGGCGGGAAGGTAACAGCGCTCCCTTCAGTAATGCTGGCCACATAACCTAGGAGGCATCCACAGAAAACGCTGGCTCTTCAGCTTGGAAATGGAGAAGAGTACCACCCCCAGAGTTAGACACGACTAGATTTAATGTCAAGGGGAAACCTTTACCTTTACTTAATCTTCAGGTTCTGTTTAAATATGTAGCCACCGTTGACGTGATGCTTTTTGGCATCTCTTAGGTGGGCACCAGTGCCATGGACAGTCCCCTGCTGAAGTACAGTGCAAAGGAGTACTTTTTCAAAGCGGCCCTCTGCCATTTCTGCATCGACATGCTCAACGCTAAGGTTTGGACTACTTTTGTATTTCTAAAGAAGTCAATAATTTGTTGCATCACATATTATAGGGGTCTGCTATTCCTAGAGCTTGTAGAATCTACTATCCAGATTAAAGATGGGTTGTTGTAGGGTTTTTTGGGCTATATGGCCATGTTCTAGACGCATTCTCTCCTGACGTTTCGCCTGCATCTATGGCTAGCATCCTCAGAGGTTGATTGCCATGGATGCTTGCCATAGATGCAGGCGAAACATCAGGAGAGAATGCCTCTAGACTATGGCCACATAGCCTGAAAAAACCTACAACAACCCTGTGATTCCAGCCATGAAAGCCTTCGACAATACAGATTAAAGATGTTCTTTAGGAACTACTTGAACTCATCTAGATAGGATTTGGGGGGTGGGGGTGGGTGCAGCACTGCAGTTTTCCTGCATCACCCCAAACATAACTCTTTCAATTATCTTTCATAGGAGGAGGTAAAAGCCACAATAGTGTGTTGTCGAAGGCTTTCACTGCCGAAATCACTGGGTTGCTGTGAGTTTAAGGATGCCTGCTATAGATGTGGGTGAAAAGTCAGGAGAGAATGCTTCTGGAACATGGCTATACAGCCTGGAAAACTCACAGCAAGCCAGCCACAACAATAGTGAATGGATAATAGTAGAGTCTGAAGATGGAAATTTTGGATCAGAGCCTGAAGCCACTTAAATTTTAAAAAAGTGAAAAAATGAGCAAAATGTTAGGTTGATATCATCAAGCCAGCACATAATGTTGGCAAATGAGCTATTCAGCATGCTGGAGCAGGACTATTGAGTTCTGTAATGTGTCAGGCATGTTAAGCAAAGTTTATTGATTAGTCCACTGACCGTATCAACATAAAAAACAAAAACGTACACAAATAGACAATAATCACTATCCTAGGACTCCCATAATAGTGAACTAACATACATTCAAACTTGATTAAGTTAAAAGATCATCAAAAATATCATCATTAAAATGCCAAGGTAAAATTTCAAACCACAAAAATTAAAAATTTGATAGCCCCTTTTCTGGACTTTTAAAATTGGTTTTCTATTCTTTTTCTTCTCCAAATCAGTTGGCTGTACAGAAATATGAAGAAATGTTCCCGGCTTTCTCAGACTCCAGAGAGTGCAAACTGGTTAAAGTGAGTAGCTTTTACTGGTCTTTTGAAGACCCCACAAGATGTTGGCTAGCTAATTTCCCTTGTGAATTCAAAGAGGATTTTGTCAGCCTTGTACTGTGCAAAGGATTCTTGTGTTTGTATAAAAACAAGAAAGCAATTGTGAACTGGAAGCAAGAGGCTGGGTGCTCAGACTATGGCAAAGGAAAAGGAATACTGACTAATGAAACAGTGTGATTGACAAATGGAATGGCCCTGGATTATGTTTTGGTTGGTGTGATTTTAATGTTTTTTTTAAATAATTCATGTTTTAATTGTTTGGTTTTAATTGTAATTGTTTATTTGATAGATGTATGTATGGCATCAAGTTGCTGCCTGTTGTAAGCAACTCCAGGCTGAGAAAGGTGGGATATAAATATGGTAAACAAACAAACAAATAATGGATTTATGCAAGGGAGCATAGCTGTAGCTCATAAATGAGGATTTCAAAAGGTGCTGGGATTTGGTAGTACTTCCCTAGTCAAATTGTGTGTATGTTTCCCCCTTCTGGGCCTGTTCCTGGCATTACATTTGGATCTTTCCCAGATCACATGATTATAGCTCTTCAGTCTGGGTGCCTCTCCCGGCAATGAAGCACACATGCTAAAAGCATCTGTCTTTGGGAACTCTTCTGCCAATGATTAAAGGTCACAGAAGGATGCTGATGCAATCTGTCATCTTGCTGTGTTTGGGAACTGATCCTAAAAATCACTAATCTCCTTTCTCCTTCATAGAAATTGCTGGATGCTCATGAGGAACAGAACATTGATAGCTACACTGAATCAGTAAGTGTGCTTTGGCCGTTTCTAAAGTGCCTATCGTGACCATTGCAAGGTGATGGGATATCTAGTATCTCTTAAATTTTAAGAATCCAGTTGGAAAGCTCTAATTTGAGATATTAATTCCAAGATTGTGCATATTCTCTCTGGTTTCTATGTCCATGTGCTTTTTCATAAGAACGATAACACTGACTTCAGATTTAAAGTGATGAGAAGAACAGCCAGAGCTGAGAATGAAGGAGATTGGCAGTCTGTGCTAATAACACAGAAATAGATTTGAGAGCCAGCAGTTGGAGCAGGCAAGGGCAAACTTGGGCCCTCGAGGTGTTTTGGACTTCAATTCCCATAATTCATAACAACCTCAGGCCCTTTCCATTTCCCCCCTCAGCCGCTTAAGCGGGGACATGAGAGAAGCTTCCCACAAGGATGATAAAAACATCAAATCATCCGGGTGTCCTTGCAGACGGCCACTTCTCTCACACCAGAAGTGACTTGAAGTTTCTCAGGTTGCTCCTGACATGACAAAAAAAAAAAAAAAGCAAGAGTCTACTGTAGTTTACAAGCAAGTTTGACATGCTTTCCTAAAATGATTTCTTTATTGCAAACTAAAACTGAGCTAATTTCTTGTTCTAATATTTCACTGCAGTGTAGTTTTCTTGTATTGTGATCCTTGTGTCTTCTTCCCCAGGTGAAGGAGTATGATTCTATCTCTCGCCTCGACCAGTGGCTCACTACCATGCTCCTGCGCATCAAGAAGACCATACAGGGTGAAGAGGAGGACCTGCGCTAAGCCCTGCCCGAACCCGCCCTCTGCCCCTCATCGGCAGAATCCTGCATGGATCCGCTCTGGTGGGGAGGAGAGGGGCCTCGCCCCAAAGGAACTGGACTTGAATGGCAAAATTGTTTATTATCGCTACCTTTCTCATAACCCCTCTCCCTGCCACCACATCTTTGTACCGCAGAAGACAGGGCAGGGGAGTGTCAGTTGTGGACTAGCTCTGACCGGAGAGAGATGAAGGCTGTAACATGAAGTTTCTCTATTTTCGTTGCCTCATTTTCCCCTTCTCAGATCAGCGTGTATCGCTTTGTGAGCCGGTGTTTACATCCTTCTAATAACTTAACACTTGTATGGCTTTAGCAGGTTCAGATGATAGCACCAGCTTCTCCATCACCACCACAGTCCTGTTGAGATGGGACAAGACTTCTTTGTTGTAGGTCCCTGGCCACATTCCTTTTCCTCTGTCTACATCTCTCAGAATTGTCCCGATCTGTCTCCCGCAGTCAAAAATAGCAGAACTGGGTCATGAGGTCATCCCGTTTTCCTGAATGTGTCAGATATCTGTCCTGCAAAAGAGGAGCATTGCTTTCCCTTCTAAAGAGCCTGTCAGAGCTGGTTCTTTCACGGAGGCTGGCTCCCCGCTGCCCTTTCAAGTTCTTGCATCGATCCGAGAACTCCCCGACATTCTTGCTCGGTACTTGGCCTATGTGCAATATCTGCTTCTCTTCCTGACTTCCAAGAAGCTTTCCTTGCACCTCAGAAGTGTACCATTTTCAGATTAGGTAGGAAGATGTCACCCAGCTCTTTCCCTGGAGTCACTCATCCCCATACAATATATGTGAATATGGGGCTCATAATGTATACCTATTGCCAGCCACTAGAGGATGCTGGATGTTCGTTCTCCCGCTTGCCTGTCTGTGGCGAGAGGCAGACTAATCTAGAACCATGCAGCAGGTAGCCAAAAACCTATTTAATGCTAGTAACTCTGTCCCGTGTGCCGGCCGTCTTAACTAACCACCATCTTGTCTTGCATGGTTCACTTTCAGACTTAGTTTGGGGATAGCATTTCTTCCGCCAATTGTTCCATGTTCTGTACACATTGTCACGAAGCTTTGCAGGATTATTTTCCCTTCCTTGTGTTGGCATAAAAAATAATAATCTTTATCATGTAGCCTGAGCACGAGTTGGAACTTCAAGAAGGGCGTTGTCATGTTAAATTTTTCTCAATCACATAAGCGAGTGGAGTTGGGGTTGGAATTAAGAAGTGCTGCTCAAAGTGTCTCACCAGAAAGTAATGGAAAATAGCTTGCACTAAGCAACAGACAATTTAAATAAAACTTTGCATGGGTTGGGGAGGGGAATCTTAATGTTCACCTAACAGTAATCTCTTTAGCTTAAGTTCTTGTCTAAGCGACTTGCATGTTTTTAGATGTATCCTCCTTGCTGTTCTCCCAACCACCAGTGTTTCAGGACTAATCCCTCCACTTTCCCATCAACCCTTCTAAATTGTGGTTTTGCTTCTGAACACTGGCTGTGATTCTGTCTATAAACACAGTTGTATGCTTGAATCAGGCTGATTGTTTGTGTGGTCTTTAAAAAAAACACAACACCTGGTACGTCGTACATTTGGGCACCATTTGAATGGACATGATTCTCTATGTTAAAGCAATGCAGCTTACACACGCTGACCTTAACACAAAGCAAGCTCTGTGGTACCTGTACACAACGTAAGAGCTAAACTTGCATGTGTCTTTTTGGAAGCTGCCTTTTGCGGGACTGTGAATTTCCATCTTAACGGGAATGCCTCTAAGCTGGTTCTGAATGTCACAGTTTATACGGGAGAGGCGGATGAGCTCCCTCTATCAGCTCCAGCTTCACATGCGGGGACATGAGAGAAGCCTCCCACAAGGATGATGATAACATCAAATCATCTGGGCATCCCCTGGGCAACGTCCTTGCAGACGGCCAATTCTCTCACACCAGAAGCAACTTGCAGTTTCTTAAGTTGCTCCTGACACGAAAAACAAACAAACATGTTCATGTCTGCTTTCATGGCTCTAAAGGTTAGTTAAAAGAGCAGCAGATCTCATTGTCTCACTTGATGATGCAGCAGGTTACACTGCTGAACTTGCTGACCAAAAGTTTGGTGATTCGAATCCGGGGAGCGGGGTGAGCTCCCGCTGTTAACCCCAGCTTCTGCCAACCTAACAGTTCGAAAACTTTCAAATGTGGGTAGATCAATAGTTACCATTTCTGTGGGAAGGTAACAGTACTCCATGCAGTCATGCTGGCCACATAACCTTGGAGGTGTCTATGGACAACGCCAGCTCTTCAGTTTAGAAATGGAGATGAGCACCACCCGCCAAAGTCTGATACGACTAGGCTTAATGTCAAGGGAAACCTTTACCTTTATCTATGTGGAATGTAGAGCTAATACTGGCTCTAAAAAATACGGATTGCTAGAATGAATGCCATCTCTACATATTTAAAGTGTGTGCTTCGGAAGTGGAGGGAATATCGCAAAAGGGAGAAACCGATTACTCCCATTAAAATTCTTGTTCATATTGCGAGCACCCAAGTGCTATTGTCTGGTGGCAGGTTTAAACGATGTTTATTTACTATTTATTTATTTACTATATTTGTATACCGCTCTTCTCATCCCTTGGGCGACCCAGAGTGGTTCACAATAGCAAAATTCAATGCTTAAAACATCATAAAACAGTTAAAAACAATTAAAACAATAGCATTATAACAATTAAACATCATAACATCTCATTATCGTCTCATAGTTAAAATCAAGATCCAGTCTCATCATCCAATTGTTCCATATTCCTATGTTCGTTACCCTGTTGAACATAAACGTAATACTTAATAGTAATCTCTGTATTTTATATTATTTGGAAGATGGTACAGTAATATTTAAGATGAAAAGAAGTAAGTGTGTCACCTAGCAGGGGCAATGGCAAGACAGCTGACCTAAAGGTCAGTGGTTTGAATCTGGGGAGCAGGGTGAGCTCCCGTCTGTCAGCTCCAGCTTCCCATGCAGGGTCATGAGAGAAGCCTCCCACAAGGATGGTAAAACATCAAAAACATCCGGGCGTCCCCTGGGCAACATCCTTGCAGATGGCCAATTCTCTCACACCAGAAGCGACTTGCAGTTTCTTAAGTCGCTCCTGACACAGAAAAAATATCGCCTAAGAGGAGGAGAGATGAGAAGTGAAATGTGAGCTGCAATAAATGTAGTGAAAATACTAGGTTAAGCAGGTTACAATTAATAGGATAACCCTCTTTCCTAGTTCCAACAAACCTCACAACCTCTGAGGATGCCTGCCATAGATGTGGGCGAAACGTCAGGAGAGAATGCCTCTAGAACATGGCCATATAGCCCGAAAAAACCTACAACAACCCAGTGATTCTGGCCATGAAAGCCTTCGACAATACATAATAGGATACAGTTTACTCATGATGAAAGGCTTTTTGGACCGGATTCACATGTTCTACCTTACTCCAATCACAGCTGAACAGAAAACTGGTCCAGCAGTACATTCACACACTGCCTTAATCCATAGAAAAAAAAAGGGAGATGCTAGTATTTCCATTCAGTGCTGTGATGTGTTGATTTTCCCCGTGATGTTTCTGTCCTTTTGCCACCATTTAGCAATTCTGAAGTTGAGTACAAATGCATCAATTGCAATTTTTAAAATCCCATGGAAATGTAGTCCTTCACGGCTCCACTTAATGAAAGGCACAGCACAAACATTCAAACATAACACTTTCTGTTCAAGAGTGATTTTCTATTTAACATCATTTTCTAATTTGCAGCAGGAAAAGGAGAACGAAGTACAAATCCGCTCTTAGGGAATTGGGCCTCCTCTGATCAGTTTTTGTGATTTAGCAAAAGGCATGTTTTAATCCATAGTAAAAGCTGTAAATGTCTGTGCCAATTAAGCATTTAAACTCGTGTGCTAATCCCATGTAAATTCAAGGGATCCTACATTGTATTGTCAAATGCTTTCATGGCTGTGTTTTCCAGGCTGTATGGCCATATTGTAGAAGCATTCTCTCCTGACTTTTCACCCGCATCTATATGGAGCCCCTGGTGGCGCAGTGGGTTAAACCCCTGTGCCGGCAGGACTGAAGACCAACAGGTTGCAGGTTCGAATCCTGGGAGAGGCGGATGAGCTCCCTCTATCAGCTCCAGCTTCTCATGCGGGGACATGAGAGAAGCCTCCCATAAGGATGATAAAAACACCAAATCATCCAGGCGTCCCATGGGCAATGTCCTTGCAGAAGGCCAATTCTCTCACAACAGATGTGACTTGCACTCCTGACATGACAACCCCCCCCCCCCCCAAAAAACAAAACAAAAACCCGTATCTATGGCAGGCTTCTTCAGAGGTTGTGAAGTCTGTTGGAAACTAGGAAAATGGGACTAATATATCTGTTGAATGTCCAGGATGGGGGGAAAAAACTTTGTCTGTTGGAGGTAAGTGTGAATGTAGTAATTAGCCACCTTAATTAGTGTTTAATGACCTAGCAGTTTTCAAGGTCTGGCTCCTTACTGCCCCGGGGGAATCCTTTGTTGGGAGGTGATTAGCTGGCCCCGATTGTTGTAAATATTTATTTATCGTGTCAGGAGCAGACCAAACAGTTGCATTGCATTTTTTAACAAACAAACAGAACACAAAGTTTGCAAGCTTGGTAGTTGATTAAATGTCCTTTGACCAGTATCTGGCCACTTGGAGTGCCTCTGGTGTTGCCGCAAGGAGGTCCTCCATTGTGCATGTGGCAGGGCTCAGGTTGCATTGCAGCAGGTGGTCAGTGGTTTGCTCTTCTCCACACTCGCATGTCATGGATTCCACTTTGTGGCCCCATTTCTGAAGGTTGGCTCTGCATCTCGTGGTGCCAGAGCGCAGTCTATTCAGCGCCTTCCAAGTCGCCCGGTTTTCTATGTGCCAGAAGTTGCATGTGATATCTGTAGACAGTCCACGTTTCGCAGGTGTATAGCAGAGTTGGAAGGACAATAGCTTTATAGACAAGCACTTTGGTATTCCTACGGATGTCCCGGTCCTCAAACACTCTCTGCTTCATTCGGAAAAAGGCTGCACTCGCAGAGCTCAGGCAGTGTTGTATTTTGGTATCGATGTTGACTTTTGTGGAGAGGTGGCTGCCAAGGTAGCGAAAATGGTCAACATTTTCTGATGTTACACCATTAAGCTGTATCCCCTAGACTCCTATTGATGCAACCCTGGATTGCACTGGCTTTTTAAGCTGCCACATCATGCTGTTGACTTACATTCAAACTTGGGGTCTACTCATACTCCTAAATCCCTTTTCATCACATCCCTTCTCAGCCTTCACCTTTCAAGGCTAAAGGAACACAGCTCTCTTTGCTTCCAGAACTTGCCAATATTATTAAAACCAGAAATAGACTGTCTAAATTTGCTGTTTATAATGAGTGCAGCTCCTTTCCCTAAATGTCCAAGCAAACTCTCATACTTGCTACTGTTGCCGTCCCCAAACTAGAGACAATCCTTAATCGAAGCCCAAGGATTGCCACCAAGGGGAGGATTATGGCCGCTTGGTTTTAAACAAATCACATTTGAGCTCTTTTGAATTAGTGCAGCCGTGAAATTGATGGACCCAAGGCCTCCCTACTCAAAACAGCTTGACGTTGCAAAACATTAAGACCCAGGCAAAATAATAATAACCACCACTGCACCACAGAAGAAGAGCAACGTTGGGAATCAAAGCTACAGAAACCGCATTTAAAACATCCATAAATTTATTATTAATATAGCACCATCTGCGCCTATGGCACTGTATGGAAACAGATATAAAATAAAAACACTGGGAGTCTTTTCCAGCTGCAGTAGGCTTTAGTGTATTCATTGCCATTGACTAATATTCTAGGCGCCTTTCAGGGCTTTGCCAAAAAAGGATAAAAATCAAATGCAAATGATGCTTGAAAAGTGTCAGTAGTCTTACTAGTCTTTAAGGCAGGTATGAGTAAACCCAGGCCTGAGGGCCAGATGCAGCTCTTGGGTTGTTTTGTCAGTCCCTCCTCTCAACATCTTATCCTTCCTTCTCTTTCCTTCCTCCTTCCCTCCCTCTTTCTCCTTCCCTTCCATTCTTTCATCCTTCCTACCTTCTCTCTTTCCTTCCTTCTTTCCCTCTTTCTCCCTTCTTCCTTCCCTTCCACCCTTTCGTCCCTTCTTCCTTCTCTCTTTCCTTCCTTCTCTCCCTCTTTCTCCCTCCCTCCTTCCTTCCCTTCCACCCTTCCATCCTTCCTTCCCTTTCTCCTTCCTTCCTTCGTCCTTACCTCCCTCCCCCCTTTCTCTTTCCATCCTTCCTTTCCACCCTTTCGTCCTTCCTTCCCTCTCTCCCTCTTTCTCTTTCCCTCCACTGTCTTTCCTTCCTTCTCTCTTTTCTCTATCCTTCCTGTTCTTCCATCCATCCATCCCTTCTTTCCTTTCATCCTTCCTTCCCTCTTTCCCCTTCTTTCCTTCCCTTTTGTGTTTCCTTCCTTCTCTCTATCTTCCCTCCCTCCATTCCTTTCCACCCTTTCATCC